TCTGAAGTCCTTTAAAATCTGAAACTGACATGATGCCCACAGTGAATTGCTCATTGGAACATTTTGGATTTTGGATTTTTGGATTAGAGATGCTCAGCCAGTATGTGTAATGCAAATATTTCAAAATCTGAAAAAAAATCTAGAACTGGAAACACTTCTGGACCCAAACATTTCCAGTAGGGATAGTCAACCTGTAGCACTGTTGATAACAGTAAAACCCTAAAAAACAACTCAAATGTTTATCAAATACAGGATATACAGAAGTCAAATGAAAAATGAATAAAAGTAGGCTACAACATGGATGAACTTTGACCATGCTAAGTAAAATAAGCCAGACATAAAAAGGACAAATGTATAATTTTACCTATATGAGGTACCTAGACTGGGCAAATTCATAGAGACAAAGTAGAATGGTGGTTACGAGGTGCTAGAGAGGAAGCTAATGGAGGAACTATTTAATAAGTATGGAGTTTCAGTTTGGGATGATGAAGTTCTGGATGGAGATGGATGGTGGTGATGGTTGTATAACATTAGGAATATACTTAGTGTCACTGAATTGAACACTTATAAATGGATAGAATGAGTTGGGTACAGTGGTTGACACCTGTAATCCCAGGGCTTTGGGAGGCCAAGGCGGGAGATTGTTTGAGGCCAGGAGTTTGAGACCAGCCTGAGCAGCATAGTGAGACTGTGTCTACACACACACACTAGCTAAAGTGTGCTGGTGCCCCTACCCCTCCCCCCCCACACAAACACATTAGCTAAAGTGTGCTGGTGCCAACCTATAGCCCTAGCCACTTGGGAGGCCGAGCCAGGAGCTGAGCCTAGAAGTTTGAGGTTACAATGAGCCTGAGCAACAGAGTGAGACCCTGTCTCTTAAAAAAAAAAGTTAAAACTAAATTTTAGTATGTGTAGTTTACCATGATAACAAAAATCTATAAAAAATGAATTTTGATGTGACAGTAGGAATTAATCTATTTTAGCGGAACAGAATCTCCCAAATTACACGCAACATCACTGTTTTTTTTTTTTTTCTAAGAGCAACTAAACCAAAAATATTTTTTAGGAATCCGTTTTGATCAGTAAAACGTATAAAAAGGAAAGCAAGGGAAATGAAAACAATAGGAATCAGGATGATTATTGCAGGAAGGCAGCAGAATGGGATGGGGGATGTTATGGTTAAATATAGGTTATTGTCAGACGTCCTAGTTTGTGGATGATGGTTGCATTATTAAAAATAAGGCCAGGTGTGGTGGCTCACACCTGTAACTCCAACATTTGGGTTAAGAGGATCACTTGAGGCCAGGAGTTTGAGACTATTCTGGGCAACATAGCAAAAACCTGTCTCTACAAAAAAAGTGAAAAAAAATTAGCCAGGTGTGGTAGCGCATGCCTGTAGTCCCAGATAATCAGGAGACTGAAGTAGAAGGAGGGCTTAAGCCCAGGAGGTTGAGGTGGCAGTGAGCTATGTTTGTGCCACTGTACTCCAGCCTGGAGTACTCCACTGTACTTCCAGTACAATGCCCTGTCTCAAGTTATAAAAAGGTAAACATAAGTAAAATGGGCCCTGTGTGGATGAACAGAGTATGTCTTGAATAAAAGAGTTTAATTCTGTGCACTTGAGGTCTAATGGGGAAAAATGCTGTTAAGTGGGGATGTTAGTGCTTGTCTGAGTTTGAAATATCGACTCCAGTACTTACTCATTGGGTGATCTTGGACAAATAACTCATGTTTCTCTTTCCTGCTGTATAAAATAAGGATAATGTCTACACAGTAGGGCTATTTCGGTATTAAATGGGTTTATATGTATGTCTGGTACATCGTAGGCTTGATGAGCCTTTACCATTTGTTTCAATTATCTAATGCTATGGAATAAACCACCCCAAAACTTAGCGAGTTGAAACAGTCATTTTATTTTTCATTCAGTGGAGCGACGGGTTGAGTTGGATAGTTTTGGTGTTCTTGTGGTTTGTCATGCAGCTGTAAGTCAGGTGGCAGCTGGGGCTGGAATGTGTGTGATGGTTTGTTGTGTTTCCTTTCTTTCCTTTTTTTTTGGACACCTCAAGACCGTTGAGTGAGTGCTTTGTTGTAGTCAGGTGGCAACTGGGGCTGGAAGATGTGTGGTGCTTTGGAGGATACAGCTAAGAGTCGGGCTCAGCTGGGCAACTGCATCTCCCTCTCCTTGTAGCCTTTTTGCATGGTCTCCAGTAGGGTAGCCAGATTTTGGGCACCTCCAAAAGTACAAAACAACCCTCCAGGCCTGGAATTGTCACATTATCACGTGCTGCATTCTATTAAGTCATAGAGCCAGTTAGGGAGTGTGGTTCATTGGGAGCCATTTTTGGAAACTACATATTATTATTAATGTTTCCATCTACCATGTTGCTCTACCACGTATATAGTTTAGATACTGGGAATGTATAAATAAATAGTTACAAATTCCTGCCCACTTGAAGCTTATGTTTTACATAATAAATAATTAAAGTATATCGTGTTTTTGGTTGGTAATAAGGTTGGTAGGGAAAAATAAAGCAGGGAAGGAGATAGGGCATAGAAGTGGTTGGGAGTTTCAGTTTTAAAAATGACTTCACGTGAGGCCTTGTTGACAAACTGTCATTTGAGCAGAGACAAAAAAAAGGGATAAGAACTGGAGGGCAGGCTGGGAATGGTAGCCTAGTCCTATAATCCCAGGGATTACAGCACTTTGGCTGAAGGAGGAGCCCAGGAATTTGAGACCAACCAGGGTAACATAGCAAGACCCTGACTCTACAAAAAAATAAATTAGCTGGGCATGGTGGCTTGCACCTGAAGTTCCAGCTTCTTGGGAGACTGAGGTGGAAGGATTGCCAGAGCCCAGGAGGTTGAGAGGCTGCAATGAACCATGATTGTGCCACTGCACTCCAGCCTGGATGACAGAGTGAGACCCTATCTCTAAAAGAAGAAAGTGAATGAGGAAGTAGGGGATGAGATCAACAGCCACACATTAAAAGCCAGCTTTAAAATTACTTTTTTTCTTTTGGGCATAAAGCTTTTAATTTTTTTTTTTTTGAGACAGAGTTTCGCACTTGTTACCCAGTCTGGAGTGTAATGGCGCAATCTCGGCTCACCGCAACCTCCGCCTCCTGGGTTCAAGCAATTCTCCTGCCTCAGTCTCCTGAGTAGCTGGGACTACAGGCGTGTGCCACCATGCCCAGCTTATTTTTGTATTTTTAGTAGAGACGGGGTTTCACCATGTTGACCAGGATGGTCTTGATCTCTTGACCCCGTGATCCACCCGCCTCAGCCTCCCAAAGTGCTGGGATTATAGTTGTGAGCCACGGCACCCGGCCCCATAGCTTTTAAATTTTAAGTTGTGCTTGTTTTCTATTTGACTTCCTATTTTGTAGCAAAGGAAGGTAATAGGAGAGGGAGGAATTTATATTTTGTTACAGCTATAAGCCTTTTCAGAAGCATGAGGGATTGTGTTTTATTCAACCAGTGTATTAATTGATTGTCTTTTTTTTTTTTTTTTTGAGAGGGAGTTTCCCTCTTGTCACCCAGGCTGGAGTGCAATGGCAAGATCTCAGCTCACTGAAACCTCTGCCTCTGGTTCAAACGATTCTCCTGCCTCAGCCTCCCGAGTAGCTGGGATTACAGGCATGTGCCATCACGCCCAGCTAATTTCGTAGTTTTAGTAGAGACAGGGTTTCACCATGTTGGCCAGGCTGATTTTGAATTCCTGACCCCAGGTGATCCACCCTCCTCGGCCTCCCAAAGTGCTGGGATTACAGGCATGAGCCACTGAGCCTGGCTAATTGTCTTAAAATTAAAAAAAAATTTTTTTGGAGACAGGGTATTACTCTGTCACCCAGGCTGGAGTGCAGTGGCAAGGTCTTGGCCCACTGAGATCTCCACCTTGCTGGTTCAAGCGATTCTCATGCCTTAGCCTCCCGAGTAGCTGGGATTATAGGCACATGCCACACCCAGCTAGTTTTTGTTATTTTTAGTAGAGACAGGATTTCAACATGTTGCCCGGGCTAGTCTCAAACTCCTGACCTCAGGTGATCTGCCTGTCTTAGCCTCCCAAAGTGTTAGGATTACAGGTGTGAGCCACTGCGCCTGGCCTATTGATTGTCTTTCTAAGATTCTTTTACTCTTTCCCTGATGTGGCTTGTTAGTAATCAATTTTAATAATTATTGCCTTTTTGTTAGAAAAACAGTGTGAATGAAGGTTAACTCAAGCAAGTTTATTTGAAAATCTATTTTCCGGCCAGGTGCAGTGGCTCATGCCTGTAATCCCAGCACTTTGGGAGTCTGAGGTGGGCGGATCACAAGGTCAGGAATTTGAGACCAGCCTGCCTAACGTGGTAAAATCCTGTCTCTACTAAAAATGCAAAACTTAGGGTGTGGCGGTGTGCGCCAGCTACTCAGGAGACTGAGGCAGGAGAGTCGCTTGAACCTAGGAAGCGGAGGTTTCATTGAGCCGAGATTGAGCCACTGCACTCCAGCCTGGGTGACAGAGCGAGGCCTCATTAACAAACTGTCAGACTCCAAAAAAGAAAAATTAAAAAATTAAAAAATCTATTTTTCTTCTCTGTAGCTTTTTTTTTTTTGATAATAGGCGAAAGATTTTCATTAACCTTTCTTTCAGTTCATGCTACATCTTTTCCTTGATGCTATGTGTCCATCTTGGTTTAACCCGTTTTGTAGATTTACAATTGCCATGTTCTTTTTGGGGTTGATTTAAAAGCTGTTTTAACTGGAACTGAAAGTGTTGACTTTTAGTTTACTGTAGTCCTCTGTGAAGACATGTTCCAACATGTTTTAGAGGTTTTCCTACAAGTCTTGTTGGAATCTTAAACCTATGACTCACCTTGGTAAATCCCCAGTCTTGCATCTAGAGAGGGCTCTGCCTGATAACCATTGGGAAGATAAGGATTTGAATTTCAGCTAAAACAGTTTACTCATTCATTAACATCATCGAGGAGGTTGAGGCATGTCTGAAACTGTTTCTGTTTCAGGCTTCACCTGACAGAAGCATGGACGATTCTTATACTTAATTAAATTCTTCAGTTTGGCAGGATCTGAACTAGAAAGTCATCTGAAGATACGCAGAACCTCAGCAAGGGTATGCAGCATTTGTGTAGGGTGCTCCATTTTATGTGTCATATTTGTTTTTTACTTCTGCTGGTTGCCTTTCTGTGAATGCTAAATAGGAAATTTTCTATGTTAGAATAGATTTTATAAAGTTTTTTTTTTCTATTTAGTTTTGCCAACAGACTGCAGTTTCTTCACTGCCAAAATGACATCATTTTCCACCTCTGCCCAGTGTTCAACATCTGACAGTGCTTGTAGGATCTCTCCTGGACAAACCAATCAGGTAAATCATTTTGGGTGTTTCTAGTTTTTTTTTTTTTTTTAAGGTTTAACTGGCTCATGACTGTAATCCCAGCACTTTGAGAAGTCAAGGCAGGAAGCTCGCTTCAAGCCAGATGTTTGAGAACAGCCTTGGCAACGTAGTGAGCCCCCTGTCTCTACAGAAAATTTCTAAAAAAAAAATAAATTAGCTGGGTGCAGTGGGGTATGCCTTTAGTTCTAGCTACTTGGGAGGCTGAGGCAGGATGATCACTTGAACCCAGGAGTTCAAAGCTGCAGTGAATTACAGTCACAACCACTGCACCCAAGACTGGGCAAGAGAGTAAGACCTTGTCTCTTTTTTAAAAATAGGGGGGATGTGGGAGTGTTGCTGGGTGAGGTGGCATATACCTGTGTTCCCAGCACTTTGGGAGGCTGAGGTAGGCAGGTCTCTTGAGCCCAGGGGTTTGATACCAGCCAGGGAAACATGGTGAAACCCCCTATCTACAAAAAAATAGAAAAATTACCCAGTATGGTGGTGTGCACCTGTAGTCCCAGCTACTCTGAAGGCTGAAGTTGAGCTGGGGAGATTGAGGCTGCAGTGACCTGTGATCACACCACTGCACTGCAGCCTGGGCAGCAGAGCAAGACTTTGTTTAAAAAAAACAAAAAAAAGTGGGGGAAGCTGTTTAAAGAGGTTCTTTTGTTCCATAGTTTCAGAAACCTACTTGAAATGTAAATAGCACATTTATTTATGTTTACATTAGGTACGACCAAAACTGCCACTTTTGAAGATTTTGCATGCAGCAGGTGCGCAAGGTGAAATGTTCACTGTTAAAGAGGTAAGCCATAAAATTCTCAGCTTTAAGAATAGTTGGCCAGGCATGGTGGCTCACGCCTGTAATCCCAGCACTTTAAGAGGCCGAGGTGGGCAGGTCACGAGGTCAGGAAATCGAGACCATCTTGGCTAACATGGTGAAACTCCATCTCTACTAAAAATACAAAAAATGAGCTAGGTGTGGTGGCACATGCCTGTAATCCCAGTTACTCACGAGGCTGAGGCAGGAGAATTGCCTGAACCTGGGAGGCAGAGGTTGCAGTGAGCGGAGATAGTGCCATTGCACTCCAGCCTGGTGATAGAGCGAGACTCCGTCTCAAAAAAAAAAAGGAACAGTGGGGCCGGGCACGGTGGCTCAAGCCTGTAATCCCAGCACTTTGGGAAGCCGAGGCAGGTGGATCACAAGGTCAAGAGATCGAGACTATCCTGGTCAACATGGTGAAACCCCGTCTCTACTAAAAATACAAAAGATCAGCTGGGCATGGTGGCGCGTGCCTGTAA